ATATACAGACCCACAGCTGGCCTGAACATTAGATTTGACAGCCACCATGAGAAACAGCCAGGTCCTGGTGGCTCATGTCTATAAGCCTAACTACTCACAAGACTGAGATCTGAGGACCACAAATGGAAACCAGCCATGAAACTCTTGTCTCTAATTAATCAGCAAAAAGCCAGAAGTAAAGATATACCTCAAGTGGTACAGCACCAGACTTGAAGGACAAAACCAAGCAAGAACACCAGCCCCTGAGTTCAAGGCCCAGTACTAGCACAATAAATAGACAGACAGACAGACAGACAGACAGACTGACTGACTGACTGACTGACAGACTGACTACTGACAGACAGATGTGAAATCTGTTAAGGATTCACATGATAAAATACAAGAATGGAGTTAGGAGATAGGATATTTCAGAAGAGGTATAAAAATAGTAAGAGAAATACTAAACAGAAATTTCAAGAACTGCAAAGAACGTGAAATTAGAAATAAAAAAGGGGATAAGGGGTTGAAATTATTGGCAGATTTAACACAATTTAGTAATAAAAGGACAATAAAATTAGCAAAAGACATATACAGGCATTTCCAAGAAGAAATAGATTAATGGCCAATAAGCACTTGGCAAGCTATTTCACCATCATTAGTCATCAGAGAAATCTAAATTGAGTATTCCTTTATAGCCATTAGAATTGCTAAAATTAAAAAAAGCTGACAAACGCTAGGGAATGCCACAATTTGAATTATCATACACTGATGGGGGTAGGTATAATCACTTGAAAAAATTATTTATTCATTATTCAATAAAATGTTGCATGTGTTAGTGAACAAGTACCTGATATAAACAGCTTAAAAGAGGAAGATTTCATTTCAGAGGGTTCATTCCAGGGCTACTTGGCTCCATGCTTCTAGGGTGAGGCGGACCACTATGACATAGGGAGAAGAAGTAGAAAAAGGAAAAGATCAGAAAAAGGAGATCAGATTCATAATCTTCAAAAGCATCCCCCACCCACCCTGTGACCTGCTTTCTCTTACTATGCCCCACTTCCTAGGATTTCAAGATAAGTGTGTGAAATACCTCAGTCAGGAACAGTTCAACATAGGATCCTGTGGAAGACATTTCACACTCAAACCATATCAAGAATAACAAATTGGTTCATAGGACTTTTTCCAAGAAAATGAAAACCTAGAGTCAGAAAAGGACATATACAGTATCTATGTTTATTCATAATAACTAGAACTGTAACTAATCCTATATCCATTGGCAGATGATTAAATAGATATTGTGGTATATTCAACAATGGGATATTACTCAAGCATAAAAAAGGAATAAAGTTCTAATAAATGCAGCACCAATTAATTTCAAAACTATGATAAGTGAAAAACATCAAAACCTCAATCTGAAGTTTGAAGCTATAGCATAGCTAAAAGTTAGCTAAGTTTATTGAAATCAAAATAAGGGCCTCTCTGGGTGGTTAAAAAGGGAATTTAGATGGAAGGAACAAAAGAAAACTTTGGGCATTGGTGGAAATGTTTCATATCATTTTGGCATCCTGCTGAGGTGATTGTACACATTTGTTAAAATACTTTAAAACTGCAGGCTTAATGCCTGTGCATCTGATTACATTTGAAATCATAAATAGAATTAATGGAAATTTTAAAATGTGATAGTGGGTTAATGTCACTTATAAGAATTCAGGTAAGACTGCCTAGTTTGAGAACTGAAGGTAATTAAAATAAGGGTTTAATGTATTTTTGCTGTTCCAGACAAATCTTGGGATTTGAGTGTTATTTCCACTTTTTGTGAGTATGGGAAAGTTACTACTCTTTTTTAAATGCTCATAAAATGGCTATAATAAAAATTAGTATTCACTTTGCAGGGTTTCCTTGGCTCCAAGACTCATTCAGTACATTTATACTATCATCATTATTAAATAGTTCTAGTTCCAATGTCCTCTGGTAGTCAGGAATACTGATGTAACTGTGAAAATATTAATAATTGGGTATCTACAAACTGCATCATCTGCAACTAAATAATGCAGACAATATTTGACAGCATAGGATTAAATACGTTAGCAAATGCTATTTCAATTTTTCCTTTGAAACCAACTAATGACCTCCTTGCCAAGAAAAAATTCACTTTAACACACTTCTCTCAAGTCTCTTGAGGAAAAATTAAATAGAGAAATTAGGACATATTTTTCCCTAATAGTCTCTGCCTATTTCCACTCCTATAGTCTCTGCCTATTTCCAATCCCATAATCCCATATACATCTTTCTAGAATATACATAAGTACGTGAAGACAGGCACAAGTTTTTGTATATGGCTATTAATAAAACTGTGACTATTATATACATATTCTTCTAAACCTGGCACTTTTGCCTAGAACTTTTTTCATGTTTAAGACCTTTTTGCTTAGTCTTTGTAAGAGCTGCAAATATGGTCGATGGCACAGATTGGCTTTTATTTACTTAACAAGCTCCTAGTAGATGAACATCTGAGAATCTTCACATTTTCACGATTATAGATTACTTCAGCTTTCTATTTATTTACTTATGAAGATGATGTACAGTGGGAGTACAGTTACATAAGTCAGGTAATACATATATTTCTCTTTGAACAGTTTTACCTCTTCTTTCATTTTCTCCCAGCTTTTCCTTCCAGAACTCCCTCTGATTCAGCTTTCATATATATAGATCTTTCATATACATACTAATAAAATTAAAAGGGAAAAACTATTTTGAATGTACATGTGCATAAACAATGAATGACTATCAGAATATTAGCTTTCTCTGGATAATTGATTTCAATGGTAGTTCTCATATTGTTGTTGCTCCATATTTCTCATCTTATCATAAGGAAAAATATTGTTTTAAAACTTACACAGCATCAGGCTCTGGTTGCTTATACCTGTAATCCTACTGAGGAGTCTTAGATCTGTGGGATCATAGTTTAAAGCCAAACTATGCAGGAAAGTCTGTGAGACTTTCATCTCCAATTAACAAGCACAAAGTTGGAAATAGAGCTGTGGCTAAAATGAGTGCCAGCCTTGAGCAAAAAAAAAAAAAAAAGCTAAGGATAGTGCCCAGGCCTAACATTCAAGCCCTAAGGCCAGCGCACGCACACATGTGCGCGTGCGCGCGCACACACACACACACACACACACACACAACACACACACACACACACACACACACACACACACACACACACAAAACACCCAAAGGATGATGAAAATGGTGATATTGATCAAGATGCATTGTACTTACATATGGATTTGTACAACTACTTAATGATGGTAAAAATATAATTTTAAAAACAAACAGAACTTTGGTTGTGTTGTGTAAGATGATTATCATTAATAACATTGCATTAAGCGTCTGCTGAATGCCTTTTATTCACAAACATATCCAAAGTCCATAGACAATGATATAAGGGGCTCCTTTATTGACACTGGTGTATGAGGATACTGGAGGTTAGACCATCGTATGGCTGGAAAAGTACATAGAACATAGATTTCAACTTAGGTCTATATGATCTAAAGTGACCTTGTTTTCCCAGGGAAGCTTGTTCAGAGAAAAGTAACACCTTGATGCTAGTCAGTGGCAACAGAAGCCAACTCTGGAACGTGAGACTTCCTGAACTACCAATGTCTGGCTGACACATACAGCTTCCTTCTACAATATTAGTGATAATAATTGAGACCAATGGTTATTTGCTTTGTGTTATAGACTATGGAGAGGAAAGGAGTTCTTTAGATCTCTAATGTTTAGTCCGTTTTCACATTCTAGATTATTCTCTCTCTTTCTCTCTCTCTCTCTCTTGTTGGCCAGGACTCAGGGCCTCATACTTGTTCATCTTAGCTCATTTGACTTAGTACTCTCTCCTTTGAGTCCTGTGTCCAGCCTAGTTTTTCTACTGGTTATTTTGGAGATGAAATCCTGCAGGTTTTTCTGTCAGAGCTGCCCTCTACCCACAGTTCACATTTCCATCTCCCGAGTAACTAGGATAACACGGTTGCACCCACATTCTAGGTTACTCTTAACTCCTCCTTTTTGTCTCTTTCCTTTGTTTTTCATACATGCATTTGCTTTCTGTTCCTAGGTCCTGTTCAATAATAAACACCCAAATTCTCAATTTCCTAGCCTATGAACACCAGGTCTTTTAGTCTTCCTATGCTCTCACCTTTGAGTCACATAAAGCTATAATTCCAAGTGATAGATGTATTGCGATCTCGCTATGATCGTGAATGTATAACTGTGGACACCTGAGGCTGACACAGGCAGAACACTACTTTTTTAGAGTAAGAACAGCTGCAGCAGTTCTGTTTTGGTGTGGCAAGTGAGGGAGGGAGGGAACTTTGGACCATTTATTAAGACCTAATCTTGTCTGGTGCCTCTGTGGGCACACAGAATCCTCACGGAAACGCCTTCCTGTTTGCATTGTGCTTCTGTGGAGAGAAGTTCTGTAGAGTTTGAATCTCGTTTGGGTAGCATTACTTTCAGTGACTAACTTGTGAGGTGAGCACAAATGTTCCAAAGTTGTTTTTTTTTCCTGACCTTCTAAAATGTGGTGTATTGGAGATAACAGTTCACAGTTTGGGAACAACAAGATGTTAGTATTTCCTCTCAAGTCTTTGTGCTCAGTGACATTGAATGATAAGGTGTTATTGAATCATAGCTGTAGTTATACAAATAGAATTAGAAAATGTTACCTATCATCTACTTGCCTCTCTGAGAGTAGCTGTAACATTTACTATCACAGTACTTCCATTGCTTGTCTGCTTCTGCTCATCATATAAACCAAAAACCAAACACACACACACACACCCATACACACACACACACACACACACACACACACACACACACACACACGCACGGAGAAAAACAAAAATGTAGACAGTATTTTTATGAGAAAAAATTGAATTCTTTTTCTTTCATTTTAAGTTTTATATTTATTTCCAAGAGGGCAATTATAGGCTAATTTTTCCCCCATTCTCTCCTAGTGGATGGCTGTATTCACAGAGCCGCTGGCCCCTGCTTGCTAGCCGAGTGCCGGACCCTGAATGGCTGTGATACGGGACATGCAAAAATCACATGTGGCTATGACCTTCCTGCAAAATGTGAGTACAACTTTTTTGAGAATTCTTACCTTGTTTTCATCTTCAGGTTCATAATTGGAGAAGGATCTAGCGGTGGTGGTATTGTTTCTGTTCAGACATATATATATATATATATATATATATATATATATATATATATATATATATATATATGTAGAGACATTTATATGTTTACAGGTGGATTTTTTTCAGGGTTTTAGCAGAGTGTCTCTGACACAGGGAAATGAAAATATGAGCAAAATATATATTACAGTATTTAAGTGCTACCAGCGACAGCTTCTGGAAATGATGCCAATTTCTTAGTCTTTATTCAGGTATCTTGACTGTGGATGTGTTTAGAGTAAAGGAGATCAAAGTGATATATTGTGCGTTTCAGGTGCTGTGTAAAGGCTGATTGGCAATTACAGCCAAGGCATCTGTCACACTTTGCTTTCAGGAAAAGCCAATGGAATGTGGTTGTCAGTATGAGAAAGTATTTGCTCTTTAAATGTGAAATGGTCAACATTTCCATTTTATTTGAATAGAATGAGGCATTGGATTGGATTGACCTTGTTGCTTAGTTTTTAGGTAACTGGGGTGGGGGGAGATAGAACAAAAACACTTAAGAGAGAAACTGATTGAAGGTGCAGCTTTTTAAATTACATAATCTTCCGGGCCTTAGAAGCAGCCAGGAAGGCTTCTGTCTGCTAATCAAGTGTGCCTTGCACTGGAAATTGAGATGCTGGATTTCTATTTCATTTACCTGCGTCTTACTATACTCTCCAGATCTGTGAACAAATTTTATGCAAAGGTGAAGCTACTTTTGTTTTTCTTGGGGAAAAGACTAAAAATATTATAACACAATTTGTAGGATACCATGTGAATTCTTTACAAACAGGTTGTGTGTAAAAATAAATTTTACATGAGTAAGTGTGAAGACATATGTTATAGTTAAAAGGTCACTTTTAAAGTATGTTTAAACTTAGGTTTTAGTAAAGAGTAATATATAAAAGTAGCATTTTTTGTAAAGATTCTATATTGTTGACCATGGATTGCTGGTAAAAATATATCAACTAGTTTCAATGTAGTTTTCCCCTTAATTACTATTTTTTCTTAGTGTTTTTAACCATGTGGAAAAAGGTCATGTGACCCTTTAGTACTACTTAGTGTACATATTTATATCAGAGAAAGCCCTGTGTGTAAAATGATGTTTAGTGCCATTCTTCCGCTGGCCCACACAGTTCAGGATCTAATTATTAAAGGTGATTTCCTCAGGATTATGTAGCCCCATGTTTACAAATACCACTCTGTTGTTTGTCATGAGAATGAACGTATTATTGTTAATTTCCAGGCTGTCTTTAATACCAAATAATAAGCTGGGTTTCCTATTGATGTTACTTCATCCTTTGTATTAAAACACAAGTCAAAATCCTCCCAATTCTGTGCTTTCATGTAAGCTCAGAAATCTCTAAATATGCTCAAAAGGCACTATGTTGGAAATGAACTATACAACTTGAAAGGGTGGGTGGTTCAAGTAGGGGAAAATAGGGACAAAATGAGAGAGAGAGAGAAGACACTGTTCCAAAAGAAATGTACTCAATACCTGACTTATGTAACTGTAACTCCTCTGTATATCACCCTTACAATAAAAAGGGCTTATTAAAAAGTGATAGCTAAAGTGTATGGTTGGCAATATAATCCTCTTAATATGCTTGCTGCAGTTTGACATCACATGGAGTAAGTTGTTCCATTTCTTCTGAATGTCATTCATCATATTTTAGCTATTGAGGACTTACACAAAAACACACGCTAAATGAAAGGTCAACAAGCCAATAGCTATGCTTAACAAGTTCCCGTACTAATGGCATAAGTTTGTGCTAAGGAGTGGCTTGCATGAGCATCCTGTATAAATAGAAAGATTAAGGATTGGTGCTGAAAGCATAGAGGAAAGGAATATGAAAATGAGCAATAATTACATTTGTATGCCACTAAATATAGTATTTCACAAAACATTATAAATCCCTCATATTTTAAATCATGCTTTATAAACAGTGTGTGTGTTTGCTTCCCGTTGGCTTATCCCTGAGAGATGGTTTCTTTCTCATCAATTTGGTTCATCCATTTCAGAGTTATTAACAATCCACAGATGTGCTTGTGTGGTGAGCAAATGAAAAAGGAGCTCATTACATACTGTTTGGGTCATTTTCCTCTCCATATTTAATAATTCTGTGACAGTTTGACAGCAGAGACTAGTTTCTATCTGTCCTCAGAGATTGCGGGCTTATCATTATAGGGGTACTAGAGCCAGTCATTCAGCCTCAAGGGATAATATCTTTATGCATCAGCAATTTGTTTGGAAAATGGTATCCACTAGGTTTTAGACAAACTTGGCCATTTCAGTCTGCCCTTTGCTTCTTTTATGACTGCTAAATTAATCTATTCACAAATGGTTGTGTTTGAAATAATTACTTATAATATGTGTTCTGTGACTAATTATGATTGGTAGAATAAACCCAGATATGTTGTTTATTCTTAATTCCTTGGATATTTAAATGATTTCTGACAGAAAAATGTCCACTATTCTCAAGAAGAAATCTTGAATGACAAGAATATCAGCCCAAGGCCTGTTTATATAATTGAGTTTTTGAGGAACAGTTTTCATCTGCAATACCAACATTTTTTTGTATTCGTAATTTTAATTTCTGTGGTTTGGGGCAGGGGTGGGCGTTTAGAAGATTTTGAACCATGGGATGTTCATGTTGCTTACCATCCCACAGAATCAGGCTTTATGGCTAAGGAGATTTGCCTGTCACACCATATCTATATCTTTTCTTTTTTTAATTTAATTTTTTTTGTGAACATACTGTACAGAGGGGTTACAATTACATGGGCAGGATAATGCGTACATTTCTTATCAAGCATTGCAGCCTCCTCCTTTGTTTACCCTTCACATACCTTCCCAGCCTCCCCCCCCCAATCCTCCGCCCTGCCTGCCTCCTCCCCCCCCCGCACCATCATTGTAAAGCTCCATATCTATATCTTATAGTGTCTCTGATACAAGCTCTGAACTAATATGAATGAATGGTCAATAGATAAGTTTTTAGGCTCTTTTCCCTGGAAAATACCTTTATAACAGTGGTCTCTACTTCAAATGCTTTCTATCTTGTAATCCATTCTGTACAGACCTGATAGAGGTACAGTACTTAAAGCCAGAGTCCTTAAAATGGTTTACAATGATGTATATGATGCAGCATTTTCCTCTTTGATATTATCTCTGTTCTCTCCTTCATTCACAAAGACTGATGTATTCAACAAATTGGAGAGATCTGAAACCAATAATTTAATGAGACATGAACTTCCTTGAAAAAGAGCAGTAAGCTAAACCCCAATCCAGTAGATGGAAAGTAATAATGAAAATTAAATCAGAATTAAACAAATTACAATAAAAAACATAGAAAGAATCAACAAAACCGAGTTGATTCTTCGAAAAAATTAACAAAATTGACAGACCCTTAGCAAATCTTACCAGAAAAAGATGAGAACATGCCCAAATAAATAAACTCAGAGATGAGAATGGAAACATCACCATAGAAACAACCAAGATTCAGAACATTATAAGGGAATTCTTCTCAAACCTTTATGCTAAGAAGTTTGAGAACCTGGAAGAAATGGAAGATTTCCTAGCAAATATTGACATGCCAAAACTAAACAAAGAGGAGGAAAACCAACTTAACAGGCCCATATCAAACATTGAAATAGAAACAGCAATAAGAGACCTACCAGCTAAGAAAAGCCCAGGACCAGATGGATTTACAGTGGAATTCTACAAGGCCTTTGAAGCAGAAATCACACCAATACTCCTCCAACTCTTCACTGAAATTGAAAGAGAAAGTTCACTACTGAACTCTTTCTATGAAGCCATCATAACCCTCATCCCAAAACCAGGCAGGGACTCATCAAAGAAAGAGAACTATAGACCCATTTCTTTGATGAACATTGACGCAAAACTTCTCAACAAAATTTTGGTGAATTGACTTCAACAATTCATCCAAAAAATCATACACTGTGATCAAACAGGATTCATTTCAGGGATACAAAGCTGGTTCAATATACATAAATCAATTAATATATCACATCAACAAGAGCAAGGATAAGAACCACATGGTTATCTCAATAAATGCAGAAAAAGCATTTGACAAGATCTAACACCCCTTTATGATGAAGGCTCTGGAATAATTAGGAATTCATGGAATATTCCTCAATACAATAAAGGTTATATATGACAAACCTGCAGCTAGCATTATACTTAATGCTGTAAGCCATTTCCTCTAAACTCAGGAGTGAGACAAGCATGTTTACTCTCTCCACTTCTCTTCAATTTACTATTAGAATGCCTAACCACAGCAATAAGACAAGATGCAAACATAAAAGGGATCCAAATGGGGAAAGATGAAGTAAAACTCTCCCTCTTTGCAGATGACATGATCTTGTATTTAAAGAATCTCATGGACTCCACTCACAAATTACTCAAGCTGATTCAAAACTTTGGCAAAGTAGCAGGGTATAAAATTAACCCTCAAAAGTCAGTGGCTTTTCTGTATGCCAATAATAAGAAGAGCGTGGCTGAAATCAGGAAAGCAACTCCATTCATAATAGCCCCACCAAAAAAAAAAAAAAATACCTAGGAATTAACCAAAGAAGTGAAGGACTTCTATGATGAAAACTTTAAAAAGCAGAACTTAAGAAGTAGAAAAACCTCCCATGCTCCTGGATTGGAAGGATCAACATTGTGAGAATGGCAAAACTTCCCAAGGCTATCTACAAATTCAGTGCAATACCTATCAATATTCCAACCTCATTCTTCAAGGAAATAGAAGAAGCAACCCAAAAATTCATATGGAACAAGAAAAGACCCTGAATAGCAAAAATGATCCTCAACAGAAACAACAGTGCTGGAGTAACCAAATTTCGAACTCTACTATAAAGCCATAATAATCAAAACAGCTTGGTACTGGCACAAG